CAATGACGGTGAGATGACATTAATAATTTTAAAAATATTTTTTTAATTTCTTAAGTGCAAATTATTTTTAGCTCAAAAAAATTTATTTTTTATTGTTCGAATTTTTTTTTTTTATCACACCAAACATTACAAAATATGAAGAAAAAAAAACATCATATAATATTTTATACTGGAACAAAATATAACATAATCACTCTAGTTAGTTTACGTTTTGAGTATTTTATTTTTTGTTTTTTTATTTTGTTCCTGACTTAAATCTCACCGGAATAGAAGTGGAAACAGATATAATCATCATGAAAAATCTCATTCTTAGCAATTCGAACCATTGTCATCAACTTAGTAACCTAACTCATGATTGTAGATACCTTCCGGATCAACTCAGAACCTGGACTACTAACTATACCTATCGCGAGGAAACAAATGCCCAAATTTGCTTGCCAATAAAGGATTTAATCAGGAGAGCCTACTTGTTTTCTCTTTTATTCCTAATTGTATTTCCTTTCAAGTATTTAAAGATGCTAGGGTACTTTTTATCTTAGAAATGTAACCACTTAATTTTGTATTTATCTAATTTCGATCTTTATTACAAAAAAATAAAAAAATAAAATAAAAAATTAACTATTTGTCCTAAGTCATATTTTCTTGTATAAAAGCCATACGCACTAACCAACGGAGACGTCTTTATGAAAAAAAATGATAATAACAAAGAAAACCTTTAAATTTATAATTTTCTACCATCACATGCAAAAGTTTTGTTTTGATATTAGATGCGAATTGGTAAGGAATAAATGAGAGCATATTCAACACCACACCTTTTGGCCTTGGTGAGGTCACGCTTCTTAAAACATGGTGTGTCGAATAAGTGTATTTTGTGATTTTGATCTTTCTTATTTTATTTAATAAGATTGTATTACATTATTAAGATTTAAAGCTAACAATCTATTAATAAAAGAACCTATGTCATTATAAATTATTAAATTTATTTAATCATTTTTAACTTAAAATAAAGATTTTTTAATTTGAAATTTTCACAATCATTCATCTTGAAATAGAGATCAAAATTTAACATAATAAATTCTAATTATATATATAATTATTTTGAATTTAAGAGCAATGTTAAGAATACAACTACCAAACACAGAATGAGACGTATATATCTCGTATTAGGTGAGGTCCATATGGTGTGAAACTTATATATAAGATCCATCCTCTCATAATATATGTGTCTCATTTTATATTTGACATTTATGTAAATTTATAATAAATTTGAGTGATATTACATACCTCAATTAGATATATTTATTGTTATAGACCATGGAAATTTATATCTTGATTCTCGTAATCTGGGTCTACAAAGTGGATAGTGCATTTAATTAAAACTTTCCATCTTGGCAAGATTGCTATAATATCTTAAACTAATGAGAAAATTAAAAGAGTATAGTTTTCCTCAACATTTTTTTCTCATTCTTTTATTTATTTTTTCATATATAGAAAAAAGTTTGGCAAGGCAAGTGGATTGAATAGCCTAATGAACCCCCCCAAAAAAAAAAAAAAAAAAAATCTTAAAGAAACAAGATATCATATGTCTTTCATACGTACAATAAATATTCATCACTAATTATTTTAGCCCAATGTTGCACAAAAAAATAGCCTAAAGAATCAAGATATGAATTCTATATGATAGTAATATTACGTGACTATGTCTATCCAGGGTGAATATTTTTATTATTTATTTTTTTTGGTCAATAAATTTGAGATTAATTACAAAGTTTAGAATAAGTACATGAAATTGGACAATTATAATCCAAGATATATTCATAACCCAACAATTACAATAATCACTAAGCCGTTAATCACCACAAATAACATATAAAAATAATTAAATTTTGTTTTTGGTAAAGATTGATTATTTAACTTGGATAATATATAGTGTACAAAAATAGTCAACTGAACTTGCTCAATTGGTTGACAATAAAATTCAAAAAGAGCAAAGATAACACTTTCTTTTTTTCTTTTTCTTTTTTTCGTTTCTAGGGTCAAATTTGAGTCAGGTATTATATTGCATTTGCATGAATTTATTTGGGATGATTCGCTTGAAAATATTTTTCTAGTGATAAATGAAATGTCATTTTTGTAATGAATAAATCACCCACCATTTTGGTCGGCAATATGATTCAACTCCAAATCATGGATTTGGATAGCTTTGAAACAATTGGAATGCTTGAATAGATTATGTCTAGATTATAATTATTCTACGAAACATAATAAATATAGAAGGGGGGTTTATTAGAAAATCTTTTTTTTTAAGTTTTGTATTTAAATTAGTTTATAACATATTATTGTATTCTAATGAATCTTATTATGTGGATATTTGATCCATCAAATCTTAATTATCATATTTAAAGTATTTTATAGATAATTTTACCCTTACAAATCTTTTTCTAACGGTTAGCAACTTGGTGATATGAACATTTACATTGATGGTATGAATATTCACATCACAAAACATTCACACTGTCAATATGAATATTATTATTATAAGTATTTTGATAATTATGTCACCCTTAAGACTTATTGTAATATAATAAAATAATTTGAATTAAGGCCAAGTTTGGGAAGACTAAATAAGTGCACTTTTTGTCTTTTTGGACTAAAAAATTGAGATTGAAAATATGGATGTTTGGGTTAACTTTTTGACTTTTTATGGAAAAATGTGTAATAAAAAATTGTAAAAATTGGTTTGTAGAGGAAAATTTGAATTGGGAGTTGTGCAGCCGTAATTGTTGACTTTTGGTGAATAGTGTTAACTTTTTAACTTTTTGAGTAACTTTTTGGCTTTTTGGCTTATTTGGGACTTCCCAAACTTAGCCTAAGTGCAACATAAGTAAGTGAAGAAATATTTATGAGTAAGTGCCCATATTCGAATCACAAAAATATAAAATAAAATAAAATACTCTTTTTGTGTGATTCATATCTTTTTGATATTTTTTGTAATTTAATTTTACACACATGTTGTCGTTGTATTGGTGTAACCTATATAGTTAATAAGTGTTTTACGCTCCGTTTAATAATTGACTATTTTAATTTTTTATAAAAAGATATGTAATAAAATAGAAAAAAATAATGTAATGATTTATAATGATTTTTTGACTTTTAACTAAGACCAAAGTCTAATGGACAAACTCTCATGGCACTAATATGTGAATTATAATCCGCCACATGAATAAGAACCCAATGAGCTTTTAGGGTGCAAGATTGACCATTCCAAGTTAAATGCCTTTGAGTTGTTTGTTGGATAGTTAGGTCAAGTTTGGCATCCTCCAAAAAATCTAAAAAGTCAAAAAGTCACTATCCTATTTAAATCACATCATCTTATTTAAGTCATATCACCTCTTTAACATATCACTTCAAACCCAACCCAAATCCAACCCATATTTCATAAAAAGTCAAAAAGTGTACTTATTTAGTCTTCCCAAACTTGGCCTTAGTGTATGAATTAGTAAAGGAGATTGAATTCACAGGAGAGAGTGCATTGTTGGTATCATACAAACAATCATCTCCTTATTAAGATAAGAAAATATATTTACTATGTACTGAGTTTGTCGTTAAAGTTTAATAATTATCTCAAGAAAGCATGTTGAATCCATCCATGAAATACGTCAACTCTCTCTTCGATTTCCAACATTTATCTATTGTATGTGACTTATTTTTTACATTCTTAGGGATTGATATGTTTATGCTAAGTAAATTTTTTCAACAATTGTTATGAATGTCGACGCTCGTTTGAGAGTCAAATGGCTTGACACTTTTATAGTATCGACCACCTCTATGTTTGTGGGAGCAAGCTCCAACACACACACATGCCAAAATCAATATCTATTTCTTGCATGTAGCTTGCTTTTTAGGTTTTTAGGGATTGATATGTTTACGCTAAGCAAAATTTTTCAACAATCGTCATGAATATCGACGCTCATTGAGAGCCACGTGGCTTGACACTTTTATAGTGTCGATCACCTCTATGTTTGTAAGACCAAGCTCCAATACATATATGTCAAAATCAACGTTATTTATCTCTTGCAGGCAACTTGTTTTTTTAAGTTCTTAAAAATTGATCTTTTTATGCGAAGTAAAATCTTTCAATAACCGTTATGAGTGTCAAAGCTCATTGGGAGCCACATGGCTCGATACTTTTATAATACTGACTACCTCCGTGTTTGTAAGACAAAGCTCTAATGTACACGTGCCTTGTTTTCAGAATTTCATCTATCAAAATCAATATACGATCGTTTTTATCCAGATTAAACATCAATACTTTATTATTAATTTATCATATCTTCCATTTGTTTGAAGTTTGAGATTTCTTTTTTATTATACATTATGTCTCAATTCTTAACTTAAAATTTTTTATAATAGTCCCCATAATCTTTTAGACATTGGTTACAATAGGTAAAATTAGAGGTCACAAAAGAATAACATTAGAGATATCAAGAAATTTATCAATAATTTTTTCAAGGGAAATGATAGAGAACTCTAAATATAGAGCTCTAATTTGAACTCTAATGATGTGTCAAAGTAAAAAAAAAAAAAAAAAACAAAATAAGGCATAAACATCACATCAGGGTGGGACCCATCTTCCCATTAGAGCTATTAGAACTCCTATATTAGAGCTCTAAAGCATTTTTGTTTTTTCAAATATCTCATATATATATATATATATATAGTCGCACATGGACATGGGTTCCACTTTAATATTGATAGATTTCTTGAGTCCTATCATTTTTCATCTCAAAAAAAATGAAAAAGGGAAAAAAACTTTTTTTTTTGTTTTGAACAACGAAAAAAAAAAAAAAAACAAAATAGATTTTATGTCATAGATTTTACTTGACAGAAAAAGCAAAATAGTAATGAAAGTTAAGGACCTTATGGTCATTATGCTATATCGATTATTTGAATTTACAATTAAAAAAATAAATAAATAAGTGAGTAAGCACAGAGAAAGAGAGAAAATTTAGAGAGAGAGAGAGAAACAAACAGAGAGAAGATTATCTCCACCTTCATCTTCTTCTTCTTCTGAAGAGACTGGTTTTTAGGTGTGTTTTCACATCTCTACAGTCTCTCTCTCTCTCTCTCTCTCTCAAACTCTCTTTCTGACTCTTCGGTCATGAGGCGAGGCAGGGCACCCAGGGCTGCGGCGGCGCCACCGTCCACGGCGGCCGGAGAAGCCAACGGATCTGGATCGAGAACGGAGATTAGGTTTCGAGGAGTGAGAAAGAGACCGTGGGGCCGATTCGCCGCAGAGATCAGAGACCCATGGAAGAAGACTAGGGTTTGGCTCGGTACCTTCGATTCCGCCGAGGACGCTGCTCGAGCCTACGATTCGGCCGCTCGAACGCTCCGTGGAGCCAAAGCAAAGACCAATTTCCCTCTCTCGCCGTTTCAACAAAACCCTAACAACGATCTGCTCATCGAGAACCGGTTGTACCCTAATCATCATCTCCAAAACCACCAGATTGTTCCTCAGAGGCCGACTTCGAGCAGTTTGAGTAGCACTGTGGAGTCTTTCAGTGGGCCCAAGCCACCGCAGACGGCGGTTGCTCCGCCGTCTGTGTCCCGGCGGTACCCCCGGACGCCGCCGATCTTGCCGGACGATTGCCGTAGCGACTGCGATTCTTCGTCTTCGGTTGTCGATGATGGAGATGGAGACATCGCTTCGTCGTCGTTTCAAAAGCCCTACTCTTTCGATCTCAATGTTCGATCTATACCCGACTATATCGATCTCAACGTTCGACCCTACTCTTTCGATCTCAACGTTCCTCCAGTGCTGGACACAGAGCTTCGTCTCTGACGACGTTGAATCGATCGGTCCGTTCGAACTTTTCTAATCAAATCAAACCAAATCAAAATCTTTAATCTTTTTGTTCTCTCTCTCTCTCTCTCAAAAAAAAAAAAAAATCTGAGGAAAAAGAAAAAAGAAAAAAGAAAAAAAGAAAAGAAGAAAAGAAGATGATGATGATGATGATAGATGAAAATATTAAGACAAGAGATGATCAAATCGTCTTCTATAAGTCTTGAGTCTGATTAGTGATTCCATGTTGTTTGAAGATAATTTACCTTCACATCTTTTCTTTTTTTATCTTTGATTGTTAGATTATATTAGGGGATTGTGGATGATCTTGATCTGGGAGTTTCTTCAACTATATCTGAGCTTTGAAGTCATATTCACATGTAGAAACAAAGGGATCATTTCTGATCTGTTATGGGTTTTCCTCATTTTGATCTATTATGCCTCAAACCCTTCATTTCCTGTATAAATTTTTTTTTATCTAATTCAATGTTAGTTAAAGAAACTTATAATCCTGGTTTTGTCTCTCATTCTGTTATTAATTTATTGCAACACATTCATCACTCTATACATAATTTGGATGTTAGGATGATTTGGTGTGTGATATTTAGCTGGATTGAATTGAAGGTGCTACAAGGGATTCTTAGAGGTTCTTTGCTTGTAATTGAATGGTGATTTAGAGCTTTACAGAATACTATTTACATCTCTATATTACTGTTGAATCATTTTGTGGAGGAACCTCTTAGGTTTTTTGTGGATAAAATCTTGTAGTCATGGTGTGGAAATTGGTGTGGGGTGTGGATTATATATGTTCTCAAGTTTGAAGGACATCTAGATTAGGTTTTCTTTAAGAACAATTGATGCACATGTTTGGTGGTAAAAATAGAAAAGAAAAGATAAAGGAACGATTTATGGCGCACGTAGTGATTCTTTTGTGTTATGCTGCATAGTTTCATGGAATCATAAATCCATTTCTTTGTATAGAAGTTTCTTGTATTCTCATTTTATAGTTTTAGTAACTGATAGTTATAGTTAGACTTTGTCCATAATTAGACTGTTTAATAAGAAAAGGGAATGATTCTTGTATGTGTTTACAAAGGATATGGCCTTTGTTTCTTTTTTGGAGTGATTCTTCTGTGGTGTTTTTTGTGTAATCCTACAAGTCTCATGGCATCATTATATCTTTTCTTTGTGTAGAAGTTTGTTGTATATATTTTTGGTAACTGATAGTTATGGTTAGAGTTTGTCCATAATTAGACTGTTATTATGTTTCGTACGGGTATATTTTTCATGTACTGATCGGATGCCAACAAAATGATTAGCTAATTAACTGTCTGACTGCATACCCTAATCTGCTTTTAGGTCCGGATGTTGAACTTATTCTCCCGTGTTTTGGGGATGTTAAATTGTGCATTTTGTCTATATATGTCTTCAGTTTTCCTTATTTGGCATATGCTTGTCTTCAGTTTTCCTTATTTGGCATATGCTTGTCGGCATTTAGGTTTATCCATGCAAAACCTTTAGGATCAGCATCAATTACTCAATCACTGTGGTAATTAATTCTTGAAGCGTTAGAAAGAATGTTGCATGCATGCTAGTAATTTCATTTGAATGTGGCTGTACATGCTAGGCAAATCATGATACTCTGGGACTCGTTTCACGATCTTTTTTTATTAGGTGGTTGTTTCTTGAAATAATTTTGTACTATGCAGAAAACTATGGAAAACAAATTCATTTTGACATCAATCCTACAAACACCATGTGCGCTAGATTTTTTTGTTTTTGTTTTTGTGTTTTTATAGTCATCTCTTTTGCTTCGCTGCAACATGTTTAAAGCAGAGTTTCATTACTTTGATAAGCTTATTATGAGTTTCCATTTTGAACTTGGTTGCCATGGGTAATTGTATGGGGTGCGTAACATGCTTGCAGCCATGTATGGAGAGAAGGAGGGGCGGGTGGTGTACCTAATTGAGATGCCTATGTTTAAAAAGGGTATAGGTTTTCCATATGTTATTGCTTAGAAGAACATAGTCTGTCCATGTTTAGGTTCCTTAGTTCACATGTAAATCCAAACCCCTGCTGTAATGTTCAATTTTTGTGTTACTACCTCTCTAGTTTGTAGTACTCTGATTCTATTGCTTCATGTTTTTATCCTAGTTTTTGTATGTATTGGAGTGGGTGGTGTACCTAATTTGATGAGATGCCAATATTTTATTGGGAAGTGGTTCTCCATATGTAAATGGTTAGAAGAACATAGTCTGTCCATGGTTAGGTTCCTTAGCTGACATGTAGAACCAAATCAGTTGTTGACTGCCTAACAAATTCCGATTTGAGTGACCCTCCATTTCTGGTCTGTGGCACTTTAGTTCTATGGTTTCATGTTTTTATGCTAGTTTGTGTATTGAATTTGCTGCTGCACATTGTTTGCCATCTTTATATTGGATGCTAGGAACATGGATGGGATGGCCTGGACAGCAATATCCGTTTTTTCCATGGGATCTTTTCTGAACAAGTCTAGGAAGGTAGAATCGATTAGAGAACCGGACACAATGGAGATGAATGGTCAAGATTTTTAAGAACTAAGTCTTACAATTTTTGTAAAATGTTATTCATTTATGTGTATTCTGTATTTAGTTTCCATGTTTGTAACAAAATGTATCACTTCCATATGCCTCCTGTCTCTCTTTACAACACCAGAAAGTTGAGTTGTGTTAAGAGAGGTGGCTGAGTGGCTGGTTTGGAACTGGGAGGAAGAAGGGAGGATCTGGACAAGGTCTCTTGAAGCCTGAATTTATGTGGCTTTTTGCTATCTTGTCGGGATTTGTGCAAAAAATTTATTTAAAATGATGTGGCCTCAGTGTTTATTAGTTTCAAGTAAAAAAATGTGTTCACCCATTCCAGATGAAAAAATTCATTAAAGTGACTTATAATTTTTAAAATATATTTTCTATTTGCAAATTATTTTTCAAAAAAATAAAACAGACCAGTCCTCTCCTACATGCCTCCACAGCTTATAGATGCACTGTCAAAAATAACAAATAATAAACAGACGAGCAAGAGCTTAAAAATAAAATGATTAATGTATCAAGATATTTCGACTATTTATTTAAAATATATTCGGAAATGTACAAATTGTATGGTAAAAACTGAGTTGATTATATCCATTGTTTTTTAATTATTTTTTTATTTAAATTTTTTAACAAGAGAACACACCTCTAGCTGACAAGTGTGGTGCGCTGCAAAATTTCCCTTTAAATACTGGTGTTGCCATAAAATAACAAAATACGAATTTTTTGAAGTGGAGGATTTTTTTTTTAAAGTTCTTGATATTAAGAGTTATAGCATGAAAAATATTTAATATTTTTATAATGCTTAAGATCCTTCAACATCGATCTAAAGAATTTTTTTGAACTTTTCAAATAATTTTTTTTTATTTTTTGAATAAGTCATAAAATAAAACAAAAGAATGGACTAGATTTCAAGGGGGCATGCCTCAGGGGCTAACAATTATACAGAACTATAAGCAAATATACAAAAACAAAGAACAAAATCTTGTTTAAGAGCCATATATATAGAAAAAACCACACTATCAATATGATAATTCAAGCTCCATGGCCCAAAGCAGCGACATGTATTCACCAAAATTCTGCATCAATCCAACAGTAGCATCTATATAGGCTGTAGCATTAGCTGTTCCATCCAACAGTAGCATCCAAAATTCTGCAAAAGGACAGACCATATGGGCAGAAGCAGCATACAACATTTGCTTGGCCTGAACTCTACAAAACCACCTAACACAACCATAGAAACATAGCAGCAATTACAGGGACATTAGCCACAGCCCAGCAAAACCCATAATAGAGCTAAAAAAAAAAAAAAAGAAAACAAAGCCAGAAAAAAAAAAAAAAAAAAAAAACAGCAATCTGCAGCCATCAGGCCACCATCTGCAGCCCAGACACGGCCACAAAGTTACAGCAACATTGCAGCAATAGCAGCCAGCAAGCAGCAGCCACCAAGTCAACAACATTGCTCCAGTAGCAACCTAGCTTCAACTAGCAAAACAGCAAACGCCAGCTGTGGAGAAAGAATTAAAGGCAGCCCATAAAAACAAGTTCTAAAAAATGAACCAAACAACGCAAGGTGGTAATTTCCAAAGAAATTTTCTCCTAATCAAATAATTCACCTCATTATGTGCAGAGAATTACTTTGAATTCAAACCAGAGAAAATTGAAGGTTGCGTTTGATAGAGCTTTGTAACTATGATTTGAGAGTATGAGTTGTATTTTGAGTTTGTGAATTTTGGAATTATGATTTGAGTGTGGAAAATTAGTTGGTGAAAGATTTTTAAATTGAGTGGAAAATTTTTGATGTGACATTTGAAACAAAAACTTACAACTTATAACAAAACATACAACTCAAAATTCCATTAAAGCACATAAAAAAAATTTAAAAATTCGGAAAATATTTTTTTCGAATATATGAAAATTAACATATCAATTGCAAAAAATAAAAATAAAAAAAAATTGCACTGTTCCGGTCAACCGGCCGGACGACCGGTTAGCCAAATTTAAATTTTTTTTTTTGAAAATCGTGCTCTCAAACAGAGTTTTTTGCAGAGTTGTGGAAAATTAATTCCACAACTCTATCGAAACATCATATTCAAATGTGGGAGTAGAAAACTCGTTTGAAAATGGTTCCAAACGGAGCCGAAATTTCTCTAAATTCAAACCAAAGAAATTTCAACACTGTCAGCACAAAATTTCTCTGATTTGTAGGAAACATTGTATTCAACACTGTCAGTACAAACAATATATGCATGCATATATGTATGATACATACATACACAAACAATACTATTAACTACATTGCTCTCTCTATATATATCATATATACACATATATATGCATTTTCTATACAACAATGGCTTCGGAGACCAAGGAAGATGGTTCGAAGAAAGTATTACCACACAAACATAGCCCAAACAAAGCCAGACCCTGTGATTGCTTCACCGTTGCTGCCATGACCTCCTTTTCCTCCTCCTCTTCATCCTCTCTCGCTCTGCCGGCATTGGTCCAATCAGACTCGTTTCCAACCTCATCGACACCGAGCATTCGTTTCAGTGCTCTCGATTCGCCGTGATTCCGTTCTTCTGTCCTCATTCGCTGGAGTCAGCTACAAGCCTCCGACAAAGAGAAATCGGAGTAACTCGTTGATTTGGTCTGTGTTCACGACGCACAAGAACAAGACAGAAGATGAAGAAGCAAAGATGAAGGAAATCGAAACAGAGAATGATTACGCACAGCGCATAATGATGATGAAATCAAGATCGATGAGTTGATTTGAGAGAATCAAATTTTTCTGTGATATATGGGTGTGAGGTTGAGGGATTTTAGACATTACAAAAAAATATTATAGACCTCTTCCATTACTAAAATTGGGTGAGGGACCATAGATTAATTTTCTCTTTAAAGTATATTGAACATACATACAAATATCAAGTTGACTAAATATTAGTAATATTATCATCAAAATATAAAAATGTGTGATTTTAAGTATAAAATTGGATACAAAAGTGATTTGATAAAATTATAGTATCGATATTTGATTAATTATTTTTTTTTTTAAGTATGTTCTATTAGCAAATTGGTGACACCTAATTCTCCAAAAAATAAAAAAAAAAATCATAGTATTTGGCTTAATTCAAAAAAACCGTTAAGCAATTTGACACAAGTTAAAAAAATTAAGAGGGAAATTTTTTTTAGAGTTTTGCCCTTATAACAAAAATAAATTTTGAGATTTTAATTTTGTCAATTCAAATTCTAATATTTTGATTTGTTTTCAATCTCAGGGCTTGACTACAAATTGGCTATTTAGTAATTTTTTGATTTTTTATAGAAAAAATTGTAAAAAAATAGAGAAAGTAAAATGATAATTTGTAGTGACTTTTGACTTCTTAGCTCAAATAGTGTATTGACAAAATGAGGTCTAAACTATATGCCTATTTTTGTTAAATAAAATTGATAAAAAATAGTATCATAACCATTAAAATCAATGTAAATATACATAAAATATCAAAAATATATTTACTTGTTAAATTTAATGACTAAAATAATATTTTTTCATCGATTTTATTTAATAAAAATAGATAAATAATTTAGATTAAAAATAAATCAAAATATTATGATTTGAATTAATAAAATTAAAAATATATTTTGTTTTAAGAGTCAAACCTAGGGATGACCATTTAAATTCGATCCGTAGGGACCCGCCCATACCTGTCCCGACACTAATGTGTGACGGGGGTGGATTAGGTTTTGGTCGGCCGCAACGAAGGTGGGCGGGTATCGCTTTCCCCATTCCAAACTCAATATGATATAATTAATAATATATATATATATATAAAAATAATATATATAAAAAATAATTAGATATAAGAAAATAATATTAAAAGTTTATGATTTTGTTTAAATATAAATAAGTAATAATCTTAAAAGTCTCACTGTTTATATATATAAAAATAAAAAAATTATTTAATGTGTTAAGAATTTAAATGGTTCTTAATTATTTTTACTATTTGAAATGTGGTCAGATATTCGCGGGTATCGAGTAATCATGGGGACGGGAGTGGGGTTAAAAAATTTCACCTATAACAAGAATGGGGGTGGAGTTTTTCGCCGGGAGTGGGGATAGGAAATGGCAAACCCTCCGTGACCATCCCTAATCAAACCCTGATTTTTATTATTTTTCAAAAAATTAAATATCTCATCAATTTTTTAAAATCAAATTATAGAATAGCAACTTTTTTAACTTCTTTAAAAAAAAAAAAAAATCCAAATCACCATTAATTTTGACGTAAGCGTCATTATCCCGTAGTAAGACACCGTCGTTTCAATATAAATCTATGTAGGGTTCATTGGCGTCCCTGCTGTGCTCAAAGCACAGCAATGACTGTGGTGCCTCTATTTGAGGTGTATTATGATCTAAATGATTTATATTGTAGGATTTGTTGAGTACTTCATGCTTACCAAAAATCATATTATTATGATATCAATAATTATATGATCGAATCACATATTGTTTATGTTATTTCTCAAAAGAAAATCTTATTATTTTTTTTTTTGGTTATCGATCATATAGTCGTTGATATCCGATTAATATGATTTTTGGTAGGTATGAAGTACTCAACAAATCCTATAAAATAACGATTTGGATCATAAAAATAAGGTTATAATACACTTCAAACGAAGGCACTACAGTCACTACTGTGTTTTGAGCACAGCGATGACCTCTTTTCCAACGTGGACGTCCCTCTCTCCCGTCCAAAGAGCCCTTTTCCCAATTAATAGAGAGAGAAAAAAAGAGTAAAATAAAAAATGAAAATTTTTATTTACACATCATATAAATTTTCAATATATATTATAAATATATCAGAATGTAAATTTTTAAACAAATATTAAGGTCAAGTTTGGCAATCTAAAAATAATTCATCTTTTTATTTTTTTTATCTTTTTTTTATCACATTACCTTTCTACTTTTCTGCACATCTTTCTTAAAAAGACAAAAAATATACTTATTTATGTCATCCCAAACAACTCCTAAATATTTTGATTTAAATTATGAAAAAACATAAATTATTCAAACATATAATTTGTTCAATTATTTATATTTGAATAATTATTTTATATTTATAAATTTAAATATAAATATTTGATATTTTTTCAAAATATCCGATTGGTGTGTGATGAGAACTTGTACTATATGCAAATAGAATTCAGTGTGTTTGGTTTGAGTTTTTTGAATTAAATTTTTTGAAAATAAAATTTTTTGGTTTTTGTCTTTTTTTGTTTTTAGTGAATATTTTTTAAATTTTAAATATATTTTTTTTACTTTTTAGATGCATCTTACTTAGATATATCTAAAAAGTAAAAAAATTGTAAAAAAATATTTTAAAAAATTAATAAATATATAAAAGAAAAAAATATACTGAATTATCGTATTTTTTTGTATTTTGGATATTTAGTGAATTTTTAAAAAGTTTACTTTATAAATTTTTTATTTTTTAAATACATTTAAGTTAAGTAAGTTTAAAAATTTTAAAAATTACTTAAAATATTAAAAAAAATCAATAAAAATAAAAATAAAACGAAAAATAGGAAGGTAAATTTTTTTTAAAAGTATTTTTTTTAAAAGCGAAACCAACCACAGTGAGTAGAATTACCTTAACAAAATTCCCATCATCATAACATAATAAACAAAACAAAAATCTTCAAAAATGCATTCGAAATTTCAAAACCCCTGAAACCCAAACCGCTCGATTCGATCCATTTCCAAATCTCTTTTTTTTCCTTTTTGATTTTAATTATTTTTTGATTCGAGAATGGAGATCGATTCGTCTCCGATTTGTAAGTGCTCGAAAGAGCACCAGAAGATCTATGAAGAATGGTTCAATTACTCCGATTCAGGTTGGTTTGTGTGAATCTCTCTCTCTCTGAAGTGATTTTTTCCCCCAAATTGATTCTTATTGATAAACTTAGATGGCGATGGACGCATTACTGGAAACGACGCGATCAAGTTCTTTGGCATGTCCAATTTGCCTCGACCTGATCTCAAGCAGGTCTCTCTCTCTGTCTCCCTCTCTCTCTCTCTCTCAGTTGTTTAGGTTTTTTTTTTTTTTTTTTTTAACTTAAGCAAATTTTTTTTTTTTGTGGTTATTTGATTTGATGTTATCTGTTTGGTTACTGAGAAAAAAGGAAGGAAAAGAAATGAAAATCAAAGAATTGCTAATTTGTTCTCACAGTCAAGTAGTGGTGTTATTCTCTTCCTCATGACCTCGACTACTTCAAAGTCTTCTTGTTGTTGACTTTCCCAGCAAACCCAAAAGAAATAATAAAGGATTTCATTTCTTGTTCAACAGAAACTGTTGTAGACTTGTGCAATATTATAATATTTACTGATTTAGCCCTGGCACCCACTGCCTGTGCCTGTCAACTGATTTTGTGTCATCCCAATCCAATCTACACCTTTTCAATGGTTATGAGTTTCATTATTTTTGTGAAATATGTGGCTTGACTGGGATCTTTCATTCAAAATGGAGCCACAGGGTATGGCTGTATGATATTTTTAATCGAATAAGTTATTATGTAATGATTCAGGGGATACCGTCCGATTGACTTGTACATTTGCAGCAATCGTCCCCATTTATATGACCCAGTCAATAATATTATAAACATTAAGCCCTTGATAGAGCAGAATGGCAAAGAAGGATTCACATAGCCGACCTCAATTGATTGGGACAAAAGGCTTAGTTTGGTTTGATTTATGATTTTTATTTCAGGATCAAAGCTTTTGTTTTAAAATTTTTATTCTTGTTTTTAAATTTAGTTTGGAACTTGCCTTTTGTTGAAAGGAATGAATCACTAGGTCAGGAACAGGATACGGGTCAGTGTTTATGTATGCATATCAGTATATGTGTTTATAGATATAAACATATACATATGTATATGAATACTTCATCACATATATGAACGCCTGTGTGCTGGGCATGTACTTTGATTCTAACTTAGTTATCTAATCAACTTGCGTGCTTCTCTTTGTGTTTCAGTTCCCTCTATAAATAGAGTTTGACGCCTTTCTTTTGTTTTTACAATATATTTCTAGTTAGAACCTCTCTCTCTCTCTCTCTCTCTCTCTCTCTCTCTCCTTCTTGCATTTTGCTTCATTGTGGCTAACCTTTTTCTTTTATCTTTTGCACAAGGTATGGGCAATTGCGGATTCCAAACGACAAGGCTTTCTTGGTTTGAAAGAGTTCATTGCAGCAATGCAGGTTCAAATTCATTTGTATCCTTTTGTTTTTGTTTTTATTGTGTTTAATGTCTAATTTTTTTTTTATTAGGATCTGACCTCAATTTACCTGTAAATTTGCAGTTAATTTCTTTGGTACAAGGTGGACATGCGCTCACTAATGAAAGCTTAAATGGTGAAGGTAAGTATTGTATGTCAGCTGTTCTTATCACTGGATGCTTGGTGTAGTTTGACAACAGAGTTCAAGTTGATGACCTGAAATGTGGATAAACTATTTATGTCATGGATGATTGTATATTGAGTTTAAGCTATTGTAACCCTTGCAGTTGACTTTGAAAATTTAAAGCCTCCTGTCATGGAAGGTTTGGATGCATTACTTGCTGTAAGAATACTAATGGCTTTCTTCTTCTTTTCCTTATTTTTAAAGTTCATTTTATGTAAGTTTTAACATGAAAATTGACAATATTCAGAAGAAAAAGCGTGCACCCAAAACAAGTGAGCCTGATCTGAATGGTAATTAGTTTTTCCCTTTAACTGTATAAAAGCCATTTTATCTTTAGGGTTCACTAATTAACAATGATACAGGTAGTACTCAACCACAGCAATCTCCAGCTTGGTTTACTTCTGCAAAATCTGCAAAGAAGGTACATAATGGTTATGCCACTTGCCTTTTTTCTGTATTATTTATTAAGGTCAAAAAGTTATAATTATAATGTTGGTAGCCATTTGATATCATTGTTTATTCTGAACATTACAAGCTAGTTAATGTCGCATTCATGGAAATTATGTATCTGCCCACATGCAGTGTTTGATCTTTTAAGAGTCAGAACAGCTCTCAACCTAGAAAACACTCAACTAGTTGTCCATACCTGTGGCTAGCAGAGGTTTCCTAGTTAAATATTAAGCAGACAGAAATAATATTATCCTTGAACAAGTATGGTTTATTAGAAGATACTTCTTTTCCTCTGCTTTCCTTAAAGGATGTATTTCAACCTAGAAAATGCTTGACTAGTTGTCCATACCTGTGGTTAGCAGTGGTTTCCTAGTTAACTATTATGGTTCTATCTTCATTTACTTCTTCAAAAGTTAAGAGCGGAAAGAAATAATATTATCCTTGAACAAGTATGGTTTATTAGAAGATACCTCTTTTCCTTTGCTTTCCCTAAAGAATGTATTGTCTTGTTGATCATTAGTTTGCGTCCTTCTTTATCATTCAAAATTTTATTTTCTTCTATAGACTTTTTGCCATTTCATTTGTTATTTAGGAAAAAAGGAATTTCCATATTACAACTGATATACTTTTGTTGGTTTAATAATACTTACTGCTTCAAGCAACCACCAGCTCATTTGCACTGCTTTTGTGCTTATGTAAAAGCAACTTGAAGAATGGGTAAGATACTTTCCATGTTTATGGATCGCCATGTTGCAATAGTTGTCTATGATTAAATTGGCCTTTCAATCAAACTTTTTGACTCTCCCTTCCTCGTGGTGGATGTGCCTCCCAAAGCTCTTAAAAGCTCCATAGTTGATTGTAATATTTCCTCGGACACAAATTTCTTTTTTGTTGGATGGTGCTTTTTAGGTGTTCAAGGGTTCAATCTTTCAAAATGTATGGCTGAGGTAATGAAATGATTAACGAGATCATATGGGCTTTTCTTGTACCGATTGTGCAGGGGTTTCTGTGTGTTGGCTGGCCCCTTTTGTATCCGTAATTTTGGTTTTTCTCACATTTCCCCCCCTTGATTTCGAGCTTCAGATATTATTTGTAGCACTTCAATTTTTCTGCCCTTTGGTAATGAAGCTGGGGATGCATAATTATGTTAGGATGGATAAAGTGGAGATGTACCTTCTAGAGTGATATCATCATAGAATACACACAGGGGAAAGCATTGTTAGAGAGTAACAAATGCAACTTATGGTTCAAGAACTACTATTTTGGAAGAAGAGTCTAGTCAAAATATCTATTAAGAAAAAAAGAACAAAGTATGATGCACTTAAAATGAGAATTTCAAGATGTAAACACGAGAAATGTAGAAAAGAAGTGAACAAATTAAATAGAATAGAAGGAAGCACTAATTAAAGATGAGTGAGGGAAAGTAGTCTATGGCGTTCTGGCCACGTGCAATGAAGATCACTGAATGCACTGATACAAGAAATGAGTTGATTTTAACAGAAAAGTGCCAAATTTGCATGAGCAATTGCTGCGGATTTTATAGAGGGATATGACTGTAGGTGGAGCTGAATGGAAGGAAAGACCCATGTAACTGACCTTACATATTATGGGTTATTGATTTTAAATTAAGGTGAGCCTATGATAACTAGTCTAGAGTAGTGTAGCCACCACAAGTGAATTTATTTTGTTTATAACAAGGCCCCGTTTGGCAAGTGATTTTTTTAGCTAAAAAGTCATTAAAAAAACCAAAAAGCCAACAACTCATACCAAAAAATCAAAGATTCCCTTTTCTCTTTACTTTTTGCACATCTTTTCGTAAGAAACTAAAAAGTCATTCCAAACATACTACTTTTTTTTTACATCATATTTTAGTCAAAAAGTTACTAAAAAAACTTGTTCCCAAACGAGGCCTAAGTGACTGGATTTAGTTATGCTTCAGTAGACATTTTTCAGCTTTTCATTTTATCTTTGTCACAATGATGATCCTAAATGTTCATGTAATTCTCCAATTTGAGTTCATCCCTTTATTATTTGCTAAGGTTTAGTTGCTTATATATTAGTTCTTAGAATGGTGCTTCCTTTCTCTCATTCGTTCCATCTTATCAGGTGCCTTTATCCTCTGTTACATCAATATTCGATGGCTTGAAGAAGTTGTACGCACAGAAACTAAAACCATTAGAAGTTACTTATCGTTTCAACGATTTTGTGTCCCCTTTATTGGTGAGTGATAAATGCATATGACCTCAATTACTTTCACATGAAGGAAACACTAGAATGGCCTTGATGCTATTTCTTTTTTCTTTGTATTTGCAAAATTTTTGAATAGTTTAATGGCTTTTGGAAGATTAAAGAGCACAGCACATGTATATCATTTAGCACTTGTTTTTGGTGGGTTATTTTTGGCAGGCAAATAGTGATTTTGATGCCAAACCTATGGTTATGTTGTTGGGTCAATACTCCACAGGAAAAACAACATTCATTAAACATTTACTCAAAAGTAGTTACCCAGGCAAGTTATTCTCTCTCTCTCCCTCTCTCTCTGGTGAGTGGAAAAAAGTAATTTTGTTTGCTATGTCTTCATTGTCAACAGGAGCTCACATTGGACCTGAGCCTACAACGGATAGATTTGTCGTTGTCATGGTACTTACAAGATCATTTTTCTTTTACCTTTGTAGCTTGTATAAAATCTCTTGTAACTGGGTATAAATTTAAAGCTAAGGCAGTGCCATTGGGCAATGTAGCTGCATGCTGCCAGGGTTTTGGGTGGCATGGGGCAGGTAAGGGCACTTTTACATGGGCTAGACTAGCATTTGGGATTTTTCAAAAGAAAAAGAGGAATTTAGCAAAACTAAATGAAGAGAAATTACTAAAGAATATTAATGACAAGCAGAAACATTGTGTCAATTAATTTACTTCTCAGTTATTGTTCTTGATATTAGCCAAGATATGGAAAAGCGGTTAGTACATGTCATTCTAGCGTCAGGAACAGCAGGGGAGTGGTTTTTACTTGCAGGTGTATAATATAGACTGTATAGAATTTAGGATCTTGAAAAAATAGCTCCTGAAATTTTGGTACTGAAATGGATTGTCCTATTGTTTATGCTTGCTCTTATAGTTTTTTTTTTCTTTATGTTGCAGTAGCTGTTTGTCTTTACAGCAGTTAGTGTAGCCTTTTAGTCTATTTAATTTCACAAAGGTTCTGTCTGAATTCATCTGCCCAAACTTTTTCTCATTACCGTTCACTAGCTAATTTGTTTATTATCTTTTATTTTAATTTTGCTTCTGAACAGAATGGACCTGATGATAGAAGTATTCCGGGGAATACTATTGCTGTTCAAGCAGATATGCCATATAGTGGTCTCACAACTTTTGGAACTGCATTTCTGTCAAAATTTGAGTGTTCCCAAATGCCACATCCGGTTAGTTATTATTCTAGAATTTCAATTAAATTTCTCTGAATTATCCTTCTACGTGATCTGAAACTTTTTTCTGCTTTTGAATATCTGAAGCTGCTGGAGCAAATAACGTTTGTCGATACCCCTGGAGTTTTATCAGGAGAAAAGCAACGAACGCAGAGAAGCTATGATTTTACTGGTGTGACGTCTTGGTTTGCTGCAAAGTGTGATCTCATTCTACTTCTATTTGATCCACATAAACTTGATATCAGTGATGAATTCAAACGTGTGATTTCATCTCTACGAGGTCATGATGACAAGATTCGCATAGTTTTGAACAAGGCAGATCAAGTTGATACACAGCAAGTAAGATGGTGTACTGCAATTTGTATACCTTATTGATCTTTTAAGTGTGTGAGTCTCTGGTGGTAGCAAATTAATCTGCTTACTGATGGCTTTACAATGTAGCTGATGAGGGTATATGGAGCATTGATGTGGTCGCTTGGAAAAGTTCTAAATACCCCTGAGGTTAATCGTGTTTATATTGGGTAAGCTCTCGAACTTAATATAGCCATTGCATCTTTTTTCTTTTTATGGTTTATATAGATTTTTAATTTGGTTTTCAGTCTAAAAGCAACATCAAGAAGTTGGGCTTTATTTTATTTAAAGAAAAAAAAAAGAAGTTGGGCTTTATTTTGAACTTAAAAGCAATTTATGTGTTTGGTGAAAACCTTTTGCACATGTTTTCTTTGTTATATTCTATGTTAGACGGACAATTGGGTTAGGGTAAGAGTTCATGTACATATGATGTAGTTAGACATTCAACTAGTAAACATATTTAGTAATTTGAGTTACCACAAAACAATGCCTAAAACCCGAAGTTATGCATGAAATTCCCTATGGGACCCTGTGAGCACTATTCCCTATGAAGAAATAATATATTTTTGTCATCTTCTTGTGCCCTTGGACATTGAAATTAGATGGTTCAGACACTTAGACTCATACCCACATCCGGCACATATACTCGAGTACATGTAATGTAGGATATATTTCATTGGCTAGAATATTTTTTATCATTACCTTTGTGCTTCCTTCAGATGATATCGTATAGTGTAAAGTGCTTCTTGATGTTTTCCATCAACAATACCAATTGAACAATTTTCCTAAACTAACTCTAATAAGGAACATCTGAGGTGTTAGGAGCAAATTATTATTTTTTTTTTCAAAATAAAAAAGGAACATCACTTCTTCCTTTTACATTTCCACATAAGTTTGAAATTTCAAGTCAGACACTGAAAACTTAATTTGTTATTTCTGATTTTGGCAGCTCATTCAATGATAAACCCGTAAATGAGGCTGCTGCTGGTCCACTTGGCAGAGAGCTTTTTGAGAAAGAACAGGACGATCTTCTTGCTGATTTAAAAGACATACCAAAGAAGGCCTGTGATCGTCGAGTGAGTTCAAATACATTCACCTCTTTGGAGTTCTTTTTTTAATATTTTTTTTGGTTTATATTTCTCCTTTTTAAAGTGTAAACAACATACAAAAGATTGTTGACTACAATTGTTATGCACAGATCAATGAATTTGTGAAACGTGCCAGAGCCGCTAAGATTCATGCTTACATTATTAGCCATCTTAAAAAAGAGATGCCTGCTATGATGGGCAAAGCTAAAACTCAGCAGAAACTGATTGATAATCTGTCCGATGAGTTTTTAAAGGTCCTCTCTCTCTCCCTACCGATTGCTAGTAATTAATGTTCATATATTTCCAATTTAGTTAGTCTTATTTTCCCCCATTTTTCTTGGGTTTCCTCCCTTTTTTTCTGTGCAACAGGTCCAAAGGGAGCACCATTTACCGATTGGAGATTTCCCAAATGTCGAGCACTTTAGGGAGGCCTTGAGCGGTTACAACATTGACAAGTTTGAGAAGTTGAAACCTAAAATGATACAAGCTGTCGATGACATGCTGGGTTATGACATCCCGGACCTCTTGAAGAATTTCCGAAATCCCTATGATTAAATTGTTTCAACGGCTTCAGTGAAAACATTTTATGGTGGTTGAAGAGAAGCAAAAATGGGCGCATTACATATATATAAACCAATGCATCAATGTATTTGTATTTTTGTTATTTCATTTTTCAATAATTGTGTTGAGATTTTTACTGAGCTTTCAAGTGTGTCTGTCTCTTGTTGTATGAAGGCTAGAAAGGTTGTATAGAAGCTATTCTTATTCATTTTGCTACAGAGGATTTTGAAGAGTTGTTGCTTTTTTTTTCTTTCTTTATATTTTTTTTTCTTCTGGAAAACACAAGAATGTGTACGTGACAGATTTAAAGCACACCATTATGGCTTAAAAACAATTGTAACATAATAAGACTTGATAATGTACATGAACATGACCAAAACCGAACAATACCTTATATTTTTGTTTGTCAAATGTTAAGGGGTGTTCGTCTTTCTTTTCTGTACAAATCCTAATAGGATAGGAGAGGTCTAGTCTGGCCGATTGTAGGTCCATCTCAGGCATAATGTTGTTTTTTTAGTTATTTTTTGTTCTAGAAAAAATGTGATTCGATTAAATAGTTATTAATATTTAATCAATTTAATTTTTGATATGAATAATATGACTAATAAATTTTATAAAATGAACTATTTAAATTTTTAAAGATTCAAAGTGTGTCTACAATGGGTTAGAGTGAATCTATCATGATCAAGGCCCGGAAAGAATTTTTTATTTTATTTCATTAAATTTCAAGAATATCTGTGATTAACTAAACATTTTAAGGAGGATTTTTTCTAGTCTAGATTTTTGGATTAGAAGATATTATTTGGGACCGTGAGACTCGTCACAGTGCTTGTTTTAATAATTCAAACCGTTTATTTTGTTAGGCATTTCATATATTTCGTCTAAAAAAAATTTAAGTCAATCCGATAATGGTAACTTATGTAATTTATTACATTTATCACTACAAAAATTATATGATTTATTTTTACAAAAATAATTATTATCTATTTTTTAATGACAAATTGAATAAAATTATCAAATCAACTTTATTTTTTATTTTTTTTTGAATGGAATATAACAAAGTGCCTAAAAATGTGTATATCATGATATATTGAAAGAAATATCTATGAACGTAACAATAAAATAATGTAAGTAATAAACATCACCATTGTCGAACCCAAACCACCCAAACCAACACAAGGTTCTGGACGCTTCTAAAGAGGAGAGAGTGGGCTACAGTCGGTCAATTGGCACTTTCTTTCTCTCCAAACACCTTTTTTATTTTCCCTCTTATTTTCTCACTGTTCCTCTCTCATCCTAAACCCTCCATAGCATAGCAGTCGCCATTTCCTTACCCCCCCCCCCCTCTCTCTCTCTCTCTCTCTCTCTCTCCCTCCTCTTCCAATAAACCCATTTTCAGTGATGTCGCTCTACAAGATTTCATCTCGTTTTCCGAGGACCGTCGTGGCTCAGTGCCGGAACTCCTTGCTAATCTGTACCCGTCACCACCACCCCCTTCCGATCCCTTCCAATCAATTTCAATCTCTCCATGACTCCCAAAATAAGGTACGCCATCGATCACAACTTCGAAATTTCACAAGCTAGGGTTTTGCTAGGGTTTAAGGCCCTTCTATGTAGTTGGAACATTTCGTGTTTTGGGTGCCAAATTTGGGTTGTTTTTATATGTATACTACTTTGTTTTCATCAATTTTGTAGCTTTAATTTATATTTTATTTTTCTGCATTTTATATGGTTTCTTTCTCTATGCTTTTAACTTGTTAAAGTTGCAAATTATTTTTTAATGCGTGATGATTAATTTGGATTACTTGGTGTGGCGAAATGATTTGATGTGTGTTTTGCGTTTTTAATTGATGTAGTATTTTGAGTAAGTTTGTTTATGTTAAAGATGTTGAAGATCATTTTGGATAACAAGTTTATAAAAGTTTTTCTTGAATGTGTTTTTTTGCATTCCTTTCATTCTGCAATATTGGGCAACTCAAGAATGCTTGTAATCGTAACAATCCAATTACAAGAGTGAAGTTCTACCAACTGAGTCAAGCGGAGCATGCACAAAGGAGTCATATGCTTCTTTTATACTTTTTTCTGACACAATTGGGCCATCCTGGACTTGAACCAAGAGACCTCACCTAATAAGAAATATTTGAACCCAATTAGATATCATCCAAATGTAGTAATATATCAATGTAGGCAACTAATTCTATTTCATTGAAAATATAGATATTAAGGGTTGGTTTGGGGTGTCCTAAAAAAGTGCACTTTTTGTCTTTTTACGAAAAGATGTGCAGAAAAGTAGAGAGGTGATGTGATGGAAAAAAGATAAAAAGATAAAAAGATGGATTATGTAGGTTATGCCAAACCTAGCTTAAAATAACTCGAGAAGTTTTGATTGAATTATGATTTTAAGGCATCAACCTATTGGGTTTATCATTTTTCTAGCAGTGTGTGAGAGATTACCTTTTAAATTACCAAAAGTAGAAGGAGAATTAGTCGCAGGTTAACATACTGAATATGTAGGTTTGTTTTTACGTTGCTTCGTATTTAAATATTCACATGGTATCATCAAATGATACAAGTCTTGGATAAGAATCTACAACACACTAGAATGACTTTGTTGATTTACTCTAACATCTAGGGTTCCTTGAATGATGTGATATCTCACACCGAGTAAATCCTCCCCCTCTTACTAAAATTACATAATGTTTTTGTGAATTATGGCTAATAGCAGGTATATTATCAGTGATTTAAAATCCAGAGGTTAAGCCTATTAAATTTTAGAAGGCACAATAAAATGAAGTTGCATCAGAGGTAACTAGAATGGAAGAAACTTAAAGGGTCATATATTTGTACAAAATTTAAGTTTAATTTTGATTTAAGCTTTTCATTTGGTCTTTTATTGTTTCAATTGCCCTTAAATGCCAGTATCATTTTGCACCAAAAGGGGAAAAATGTTAGTGCATGTAGTTGGTTCGGAATTGAATTGAATACCATAATAATTAATTTGATTCAACTTGGGATTCCAAGACAAATGTGTTTCATATGATACTAGAAATCTTGCAATGCATAGAAGATAACCTTTATGAGGTCTGTAATTTTTTGAATTCCAAATGTCAGATCACGTTCTTTATGTTAACATAACATTTAGAAGGAGTGGGAATAAGGAAGATGTAAATTACAACTTAGCTACATTAAAATTCCCAATAGTATCAACAGTTCAGAACTCATGGTCTCAAAATTTTAAACTTAAGAGGAACGTCAAATATGTTCATCAAATTACATGTAACAATCATTTCTTTTTCATCGTGGTGGTTTGATATCCGTTACCCATATCCACTCAATATATGTTTGTGAGGCCAATTTATTATTCATTGTATCAATCCAGTAGGGATGGCAATTTGAACCCGGCCCGACGGGGACCCGATCCCCCGACCCCGATGAGAATGGTTTTTCCCCGAAAAATACCCCCGTGGGGACGGGGATGGTATTCAAAATTAAAACCCCGATCAGTTTCGGGCCGGGGACGGCCTTTCATTTTGCAATATTGGTGGACTCAAGAATGCTTGTAATCGTAACAATCCAATTACAAGAGTGAAGTTCTACCAACTGAGTCAAGCGGAGCATGCACAAAGGAGTCATATGCTTCTTTTATACTTTTCTCTGACACAATTGGGCCATCCTGGACTTGAACCAAGAGACCTCACCTAATAAGAAATATTTGAACCCAATTAGATTTCATCCAAATGTAGTAATATATCGATGTAGGCAACTAATTCTGTTTCATTGAAAATATAGAGATTAAGATAACTCGAGAAGTTTTGATTGAATTATGATTTTAAGGCGTCAACCTATTGGGTTTATCATTTTTCTAATTTCTTCCCTAGTAGATTGTGACATTGAATTATGATTTTAAGGCATCAACCTATTGGGTTTATCATTTTTCTAGCAGTGTGTGAGAGATTACCTTTTAAATTACCAAAAGTAGAAGGAGAATTAGTGGCAGGTTAACATACTGAATATGTAGGTTTGTTTTTAGGTTGCCTCGTATTTAAATATTCACATGGCATCATCAAATGATACAAGTCTTGGATAAGAATCTACAACACACTAGAATGACTTTGTTGATTTACTCTAACATCTAGGGTTCCTTGAATGGTGTGATATCTCACACCGAGTAAATCCTCCCCCTCTTACTAAAATTACATAATGTTTTTGTGAATTATGGCTAATAGCAGGTATATTATCAGTGATTTAAAATCCAGAGGTTAAGCCTATTAAATTTTAGAAGGCACAATAAAATGAAGTTGCATCAGAGGTAACTAGAATGGAAGAAACTTAAAGGGTCATATATTTGTACAAAATTTAAGTTTAATTTTGATTTAAGCTTTTCATTTGGTCTTTTATTGTTTCAATTGCCCTTAAATGCCAGTATCATTTTGCACCAAAAGGGGAAAAATGTTAGTGCATGTAGTTGGTTCGGAATTGAATTGAATACCATAATAATTAATTTGATTCAACTTGGGATTCCAAGACAAATGTGTGTTTGCATAGAAGATAACCTTTATGAGGTCTGTAATTTTTTGAATTCCAAATGTCAGATCACGTTCTTTATGTTAACATAACATTTAGGAGTGGGAATAAGGAAGATGTAAATTACAACTTAGCTACATGAAAATTCCCAATAGTATCAACAGTTCAGAACTCATGGTCTCAAAATTTTAAACGAAAGAGGAACGTCAAATATGTTCATCAAATTACATGTAACAATCATTTCTATTTCATCGTGGTGGTTTGATATCCGTTACCCATATCCACTCAATATATGTTTATGAGGCCAATTTATTATTCATTGTATCAATCCAGAGACAAGTGACATTTAACACTACACTTTGTAGATATGAAATTTGTAGTGATAACTGTGTGTGTCAATTCAAGATTTGTGTTTGGAGGTTCTATTTTTTTATGACCGTTTCACGTTTTTGTTATGGTTAAGCAAGAAAATGTAAAGAACTGGGCTTCATAATTTTGCTCAAAACATTAGGACTTCTTGTCTGGACTTGATGGATGTCTCATTTAATACTAAGATTTCATGTCAAGACTCAATTGAAGTCATTGAACATAGGTTCATTTATGAGTTAAAAGATTTAAAATAATTAATCTTGGATTTTGCTCCTAAAGGCTCACAGTCACACCAATTTAGCATAAACAGGACATCTTGACAAGGAAGTTGTGCAATTTTAACAACTTTATGCAATGTTCTCATTGGAGGAAGTGATGGACACTTGTTGGGGATGACCCAAGTTAACAAGCACAGTTGAGACCAGAGATATGTAAGCACATGCATGAATGCGTGCACAGAGAGAGAGAGAGAGAGAGAGAGAGAGGGAGAAGCACATGGTGTTTGGTTCCTGCTAGTGAGCCTTCTTGGGCCTTGTAAAAGTTACAACGTAAACCTGTCAAATCCTAGTTGAGACTTTTAGTTCGCAAGGCATGCATTGCTAGGCCTATAAGCCCAATTTTCAGCGTCTATTGGACCATCTTGTGTGCTTAGTTGTGTATGTCTTGATGACAAATGCCATCTTTCTCCCCCTTAGGTTGGCTGCATAGAGGCATGCCAAGTGTCTAGTTGAAGGGGTCAGAATCCACCTTGGTTAGCTCCTAGCCCTAGCAGTCATACCAAAAATATGCAGTAAAATTCCGTTGGATCGCATTGCATGCTACTGTTTGGCCATCGCAAGTGTCTATATTGATGAGGAAGACATTGCAAGTGCTTTTCAGTTTTGTCCACATTTCAGGGTGATACAATTCATTTTTCATTAACACTTTATTAGCTTGAGTGTTATCTATTGCACCAGGTTCATTTTGAAAAAGGAGAAAGGAGCAGAGAGAGGGGGCAGATTCTGGAAAATTTTATTTTTCACATTGCATTCCTTTCTTCTTCTGGTGCACACTCTATCTACCAAAAGAACTAAATGCATATGCTTATTCTTTTCCAGGTGATTTCTGGCCTCGTGTCTCTGTTACATCATTCAGCCCTTAACACTTCTGCTTTTCAACGATTTGGATTCTCGTCATCTACATCTCCTGAAACTACTGAAAAGGAGAATGCCCAGTCTGGAAATGGAGGGAGTACGGTAGAGAACAATGGTGCCACTGCAAAAACAAGTGGAGATACCGAAGTTCCTGAGCAAAAAGAGGCTTCCAGTTCTGAAGGTATGAAAGTCTCTGATCAGAAAGAGGAATCAAGCTAAAATTCAGAATCATAGTCTAACATGCCCCAATCTGTGTAAGGGAGAAGAGGTACTAAGTGAACTGCATTTTTTTATTCTGATGCAGATTCAGATGCGGAGGCCGAGTTATCCATGGAGGATCTGGTGAAACTCGTGACGGAGAAGGAAGAACTTTTAAATGTGAAGCACAAAGAGATTGAGAAAATGCAAGATAAAGTTATCCGGACTTATGCAGAAATGGAGAATGTTATGGGGAGGACAAGACGTGAGGCAGAGAACTCAAAAAAATTTGCCATACAGGTTTGTCTCTATTTTTATATAATGATGTGTACTTTCAAATTGGACCCATATGTTCATGTGCCTTGGTATTTGAATGTCTTAATTCTGCTCTTTTTTTGAAAATGTGATGCAGAGTTTTGCAAAGAGTTTATTGGATGTTGCAGATAATTTGGGTAGGGCTTCTTCTGTTGTAAAAGAGAGTTTTTCAAAGATTGACACAACTAAAGACAGTGCAGGGGCTGTGCCCCTTCTCAAAACACTGTTGGAAGGTGTTGAAATGACTGAAAAACAGCTCGCAGAGGTATTATACACTCTCTTGCTCTTTCTGGAAGCATTGCTTCAAAACTGTAAGCAATTATGGTTAGACATCATGGGCATATTTCTGTTCTTTTTTTTCTAAAGACATAAATATCCCAGTATGTATGCTTCTTCGTATGTCAGAATTACATTCCATACTAGAAGCTAGTAATGCCTTGCCTGCCCTGGCAAATTGTAGTTGATGTCCCATGTGATATAGTGATTGAATTTGTGATATGAACATGTTTGATTTTGGAAGATAAGGTATTATTGATTGAGTTAATCAATATCTTGGTTTAGGTACTCAAAAAGTATGGAGTGGAAAAATATGATCCTACAAATGAGCAATTTGATCCAAATAGACATAATGCAGTATTCCAAGTACCAGATGCTTCTAAGCCCCCTGACACTGTTGCAGTCGTTTTGAAGGTAAACAAATTTGTTTACTTTGTGTTGCCCCCATTTGATTGAGAACCAACTTTTTTAGATATGAATGTTCTGGGTCATTCTATTTCCATGCTCTATTTTCTCTCAGTTCACATACTTTGAGAATAAATTTTTATTACAATTATATCCTCAATCAAAAGGACTAACAAGTACATTGCTACACACTGCATGACTTTGTCTATTTATTTGATTTTTTACATGATTGTTGCTTTGAAATCAAAGAATATTGAAAAAGCATTTCCCCAATCATGGATTTGCACGAAATCCATTCTGTTTTCATTCAATTGCTACAAGATCAACAATTCCATGAGCGGCATTTCATTGGATGACAACCCATAAAGATTCCGGAACTGTGTGAATTGCAAAAAATTGGTATGTGCCTAGAATGACCCCGAAGGCCCTCTCTAAATACAGAAAGGGTAGCTGTTTTGTGATTTGTAGTTTTTGAATCAAAGACATATTCTAAATTGTAATACAATTGGACTAGATGTGACTTTATGGTCTTTAAATTGGCGTTGGGGTCTCGTCGGAGTATGAAGTTGCTTCAGATATTCTATGTTGTGGTTGATATTAGTCATTTGTGTTTCTCTGGGCAGTCGGTTGCATAAATTTTGCTCTCTTTCTTGCTCTCTCTCTCTCTCTCTCCCTCTCTCTCTCTCTTCTTGAAAGGTCATAATCTTGCTGTGTTATAGAAGCATGCATTTTGAAGTAGTGTTCAAATAGAAAGCAAAATGTTTCAATGTGTTTTATTGAAAAGCAAAATGCTTCTATGTGTTTTTGTGGTGCAGGTGGGATATGTGCTTCATGACAGAGTTATCCGACCAGCTGAAGTTGGCGTGACTGTAGTAGTGGATAATGAGACAGAGCAAGGCTCTACATCTTGAAGGAATGACTGGGTATATTCCTTGCAGACCTGAGTTGGTTTTTTTTCTGTTTTTTCATCAGCTTGTGACAGAAGGAATAGTATTTTCCTCAACATCAGATAAACTTTAGCTGCTGTGCCTAATCTAGGTCAAAGAATGGATCAATTTTTTTAAAATCCAGTTTACATTTTATTGGTTGTTATTTATTAAAGAAGTTGCGTCGGAGGGATTTGGGATCGGTTCAAGCCCTTTTAATTTTAAGTTCATAATAGAGTTTTGAATATGTCAAGGAGGTTGGGCTGCTCAGGCTTGTTTTGCTTTGCAGTTTTGTTTAATTTCTAACTACCACATTCTACAAAATGTGTGCTTGAGCTGAAGGTCAAAATAGGGATGCAATTCTGGTAGATTCCGTTGGCTAAATTGATCTGATAATTGTACTTATGTGATTTTATTGGTTTTCAAAATGATGGACGATGATATGATTTTAAAAGTAGATCTTTTTTTTTAATTATTAATTTATGATTATTGGATTAATTTGAATTTACATGGATGATTAAATACATAAAGACCTAAAAGATGAACAAAGTGGATTGTTGAAATGAGGCTTGTGATGGGCTCAATGGGCCAAATTGGGCTATCGCAGTCCCTTTCTTATTTCGTGTAACTTATACTGTTCAATCCCTTTAATTTGGACAAGTTTTTATTTGTTTTTATAATTTAAATTTTGTTTTAATGTGGTTGTCTTTGGGAATTTAGAGGCAGAGAAGTGGCAATTAATTAAATTTGAACTAGGGGAATCAAAATGAAAGCACTGAAACTAGAAGAACCAATTATGTAAGTTAGGCCCAAAAAAAAAAAACTTACAAGTAAAATAATGGATAAATTAGTTTGGGAGAAGTTTTACTTGGATTCTTAAACTTTCAATTTTACACTTATAATTATGTTTTCATGTTATCTGTTGCCTTTTGGAAAGAAAAAATATCACTTGAAGTGGAATTTTAACTAGTTGTGCACGAAGAATAGAAAATAAGCACGATCGATTCTTATAATTCATTTGAATTTTATTTTTGCTTCTTTAATTTCATATGTATTATTATTTTGTTAAAAATATTAATAACAATTTATGAAATGAAGGGTCACATTAAAACAAAATTATATATATATATATATATAAGAAATCATAAAAGGGCAACCATTTAATTTCATATGTATTATTACTTTGTTCAAAATATTAATAACAATTTATGAAATGAAGGGTCACATTAAAACAAAATTAAAAAATATATATATTTATATAACAATGGAAGGGTTAGTTTGAAAATGTCTTTCAAATTAATTGTCCAAATCTGTCTAGATTTAAAAACAATGGCTTAGATTTACTTTTACAAATATTTCTCACAAACTATCTTCAATGGTTTAGATTTGTCTAATTTAAAAACAATAGCTAAGATTCAATGGTCTAGATTTATCTAAGAAATAAGATTCAATGGTTTAGATATATTTAACTATCAACTCTTACCAACCCACTACACTTTACATCATTACTGTGAAAGAACAAAACTGTGAAGAAGGTACAAAACTCTGAAGGAAGAATAAAGCTCTTTACATTCCTTTTCATTTTTTCTCCACCATCACCAGGTCCTCCTCACTTTCATTTTTTTTTTCCCATTCATTTTTTTTTACCAGTTCATAACTCTGTTTTTTTTTTTCTTTTTTTCTCTGTTTCTGAACCAACTATCAATGTATCACAGACATGCATCATTTTTTTTCCTTTTTTTTTTTTCCAGTTCATCCCATCATCCCCACCCATTGTTTTTTTTTTTTCCCAGCTCATAGCTCTTTGTTTGGTTCATAGTTCTTTGTTAAGAATCTAAAGCAAAAAAATACATAAAATTATGTGTTGTGTTTTGTTCTTAATTATTTTTTTGGTTTTATTTTTTCAATTAAATCAGTAAATGTTAACATTAATTGAGTTGAAATTTTCTTTAATAATCAATGGGGTTTTAACACTCACATTTGTATCAAATGGGAGTTAAGGATGTTAATATATATAATATATCTACATAGATAATATATATAATCTATATACATAGATTAAATTAATGTATAGTTAGTGGCAGTAGTGGCATTGTGCTTTCGGCTGCTTTTCCTTTCTGTCCCTTTCCTATGATGGTGTCTGTATAGCTTTAGCATCTTCCCATCTCCTATATATGAAGGAGTGTGTGTATCTATTGAAAATCAACAAATCAATAACATCTCATTTATGCACTTGCTCTCTCTTTCTATATACATAAACTCTTACACTATTCACTATTTTTGTTTCCAGAAATACGTAATGGAAGAAAACAGAGACAACCAAACATGACAGAGGTAAAGAATGAAACTAGCATTAAAGGGGCAACACAAGCTAGGACTGAAACAAAGTGAAGCTCCAAAAAGCTGAAGAGCAGAATTTTATAAATCGTCGGCCCACACGACAGCCACCGACGCCGTGATCTGGCCAACGTCGACCCACGCCACCTTGCACACCGTCGGCGGCCACAGCCGATGTTGGCGTGATACCAACTGCGACGCCACACAGTGGGTTCTCTCTGTATACTCCACACAGTGACTTCACCTGAACTGATGTTCCCATCTCTCTCCCTACCAACTTGTTTGGTCACCTTTTCTCTCTCTAGACATGCTCTCTGCCGAGAGCTCTACATCAATTGAGGCACATACACACACAGCAGCAGCTCCTATCACACACTCAACACACACACACAGTCGAGACACACTCAACACACACACACACGCATGAGGCAACACACGCCACCATTGCCATCACACACCACACCACTGTTGCTGTCACACACCACACCACCGATGCCGTCACACCCCGCACCACTGCTGCCATCACACACCACACCACCGCTGCCATCACTATTCACACACTGATACACAGACCGATCATCAACCTCTCTCTCTCTTTCGGTGTAGGCATCTTTTTGAAGCTGAAAAACCGACACACACAGAAGACCAAACCCAGCTCTCTCTCTCTAACAGAGCTCACTCACTCTCTCGGCAGCTTTGACAAAAAATACACACACTGATATACACACTGCTACACCATGCACACAACACATGCATACACAAGCACACACACGGCACACACCAAACCCATCTCTCTCTTCTCTCTCTGCAACATACACAAACAGCTCACTCTCTCTGCAACTCTCTAGCTGGGTCTCTCTCTCTGCAACGCACATGGGGGGCACCCACTCAATCTCTTTCTCTCTCTCTCTCACTTTACACCCACTCTCTCAATCCGGCAAACAGATTTCACAAATAGACTTTCTCACTCTCACTTCCCGTGGTCTCCCACATGCACTTTATGATGAAAACATTTTTTTTAATCAACCCACTCCCTCTCTCTCTCTCTGGTCCCTTTTTCTCTCCACCAGACCCACTTTAATCATATCCATCATTTCCCTTAATTTATTCCACCCACTCTCTCTATGGTCCATTCCTCTCCACCTTCATATCTTTTATATGTAGCTGCTCCCACCAGCACACATGCTTTCCCCATTAATACATTCTTCTTCTTATTATTATTATTATTAACAAAAAAAAAACAAAACAAATATTCCAAACACCATTCCTGGCTTTCACAAAATCGTGGGCCCCGAAACCACGTGAACCACTTTCCTTATTTCCCCGCTCTTTCGTTTTGATTTCAAATATTTTCTTATTATTTATTTCTTTACTTTTCTTTCACATTATTTTTAATCCATTTCCATTTCCATGCATACCATATAGATTTGCACTCTAAACCTTGTTTTATTCATCTCAGGAATCTACTTTCGTCGCGTTCTCACTCCTAACGGTCCGACATGACCCCATAAACTGTCCCGACATTGATTCCGGTCAGCTTCAACATCGGTCCGGCATGACCCCGTAAACTGTCCCGACATTGATTCCGGTCAGCTTCAACATCGGTCCGGCATGACCCCATAAACTGTCCCGACATTGATTCCGGTCAATTTTTTACAACGGTCCGGCATGACCCCGTAAACTGTCCCGACATTGATTCCGGTCAGCTTCAACATTGGATTCAGACATTATCTGCTACAACGGTCCGACACGACCATACAGTGTCTTCTCCAACGGTGTGACACGACCATACCGTGTCTTCAACAACAATTTGACACAACCATACAATGTCTCCTATCCTCTTTTATTTTACTTTCCTGTTTTGTTACTCTCTCCAAACTCAAGTTGGTTAGTACCTATCCTCCTTGAGTTTGAGGGGGGCTGTTAATATATAAAATATATCTACATAGATAATATATATAATCTATATACATAGATTAAATTAATGTATAGTTAGTGGCAGTAGTGGCATTGTGCTTTCGGCTGCTTTTCCTTTCTGTCCCTTTCCTATGATGGTGTCTGTATGGCTTTAGCATCTTCCCATCTCCTATATATGAAGGAGTGTGTGTATCTATTGAAAATCAACAAATCAATACATAATTCATTTTCTCTATTTCTCTATACATAAACTCTATCAAAGGAAAAATGGATTTCATGTTAACAATGGGTTAAGAAAAAATGAGTTTCATAGCTCTTTGTTAACACCCGTTGTTTGGTTCTTAACTCTTTTTTTGGTTCTTAGTTTTTTGTTAAGAATGTGAAACAAAAAAATTAAAAAATAAAACAAATAAAAAAATTATGTGTTGTGTTTTGTTCTTAATTCTTTTTTTGGTTTTATTTTTTCAATTAAATAAGTTAATGTTAACATTAATTGAGTTGAGATTTTCTTTAATAATTAATGTTGTTTCAATGCCTACTTCTCTCTCTATCAAATGGGGGTTAAAGAAAAATGGATTTAATGTTAACAATTATTTTTATTTCATCTTAATGGATTGAGGTTTCAAAAAAAACTCTGAGTTAAAGTTAACATTAATTGGGTTGAGGTTCTCTTTAATAATCAAAGGGGTTTTAGCACCCACTTCTCTTTCTATCAAATGAGGGTAAAGAAAAATGGGTTTCATATAAACAATCATTTTTATTTCATTTTAATGGGTTTAGCTTGTAAAAAAAAAAAAAAAAAACTCTAAGTTAATGTTAACATTAATTGGGTTGAGGTTCTCTTTAATAATTAATGGGGTTTTAACACCCACTTCACTCTCTCTCTCTCTCTATCAAATGGGGGTTAAGAAAAAATGAGTTTCATGTTTCAAATGAGGGTTAAGGAAAAATGTGTTTCATGTAAATAATCAATTTTATTTCATCTTAATGGGTTTGAGCTTAAAAAAAAAAAACTCTAAGTGTTGACATTAATTGGATTGAGGTTCTATTTAATAATTAATGAGATTCTAAGTCACTTCTTTCTCTCTATCAATGGGGGTTAAGGAAAAATAGATTTCATGTTAAGAATCATTTTTATTTCATCTTAGTCAAATGGGTTGAAACATTAAAAGCATAATATTTAATCTAGTTATTGAAAATTCGAAAACCAAACATGAGAGAGTTCATTCATTAATTCAGAACATTCATTAGCATGAAACCCATTTTTCCTTAACCCCCATTTGATAGAGAGAGAAATGAGTGTTAAACCCCATTGATTATTAAAGAAAATCTCAACCCAATTAATGTTAACATTAACTCATTTAATTGAAAAAAAAACCAAAAAAAAAAAAAAACTAAGAACAAAACACAACACATAATATTTTTTTTTTTTTTTTGCTTCAGATTTTTAACAAAGAACTAAGAACCAAACAAAGAGCTAAGAACCAAACAATAGGTGTTAACAAAGAGCCATGAGACCCAATTTTCCTTAACCCATTGTTAATATGAAATCCATTTTTCCTTGACCCCCATTTGATAGAGAGAGAAGTGGGTATTGAAATCTCATTGATTATTAAAGAAAATTTCAACCCAATTAATGTTAACATTAACACATTTAATTGAAAAAATAAGAATAAAAAAAAGAACTAAGGCCTCGTTTGGCATACGAGTGTTTTAGCCTAAAAGCCAAAACAGTTACTAAAGAAAAAAATCAAAAAGCTTACAACTTATACCAAAAAATTAAAGATTCTATTTTCTCTCTATTTTTTATACATATTTTTCATAAAAAATCAAAAATTCATCCAAATATACTAATTTTTTTATCTCATATTTTATCTAAAAAGTTACTAAAATAACATGTTCTCAAATGAGGCCTAAGAACAAAACACAACACAAATTTTTTTTGTTTTTTTGCTTCAAATTCTTAACAAAGAACTAAGAATCAAACAAAGAGTTATGGGCTGGAAAAAAAAAAAAAAAAACAATGGGTGGGGATGACGGGATGAACTGGAAAAAAAACAGAGGTAAAAAATGATGCATGTCTGGGATACATTGGTAGTTGGTCCAGAAGCAGAGGAGAAAAAAAAAAAAAAAAAAAAAAAGGCTATGAACTGGAAAAATAAATAAATAAAGGTAAAAAAATGAATGGAAAAACAAAAAGAAAATAAGGAGATATGAATTCCTTAGGTGGTGATGGTGAAGAAAAAATGAAAATGAATGCAAAGAGCTTTGTTCTTCTTTCGGTTGTTTTTTAGAGCTTTGTTCCTTCTTCACAACTTTGTAATTTCACAGTGATGATGTAAAGTGCAGTGGGTTGATAAGAGTTGATAGTTGAATATATCTTAACTATTTAATCTTATTTCTTAGATAAATTTAGATCATTGAATCTCTTTTTGAATCTCAGTCATAATTTTTAAATTAGACAAATTTGAACCATTGAAAATAATTTATGAAATAGAAATTTGTAAAAGTAAACCTAAGCTATTATTTTTAAATCTAGACCATTAATTTGAAATACATTTTCAAACTAAACCTTCCCTGGTTACATAGATAATATATAAAAGAAATCATAAATGGGCAGCAACCAAAAACAATACGACGCCGTTTTACGTCCACCTTATCCATCCTGCTCCCCCCCTCAAAACATTCTAAACTCGCTCTCAACAGCTCCAGCATCTCTCTCTCTCTCTCTCTCTCTCTCCAAACCCAAAAAATGGAGCTCTGCTATAGCTGTGCAACCACCACCACCACTCCAACCTTCCTTCAATTGAAGCCCTCTCTTGTTTCTCTTTCTCTCTCCAACACTCTTGTTCAACTCAACACCACCAAAAACAACACACTCTTCATTCCTCACAAGCTTTCCACTTCTTCCCGCCAATTCTCTCTCCTCCAACCGCAATCTTCAAGACTTTCAACCCGCTTCGCAGCTTCATCATCTTCAACCGCTTACGACACCGTACAAGATCAACTTCCGGCTGATATCGAGGTTACAGAAACCCAAGAACCCAATTCCAGAGTCAGTCTTTCTAATCTTTGTTATTATTATTATACTTTGTTTGTCATTAAGATTCAATTTCAAGCCAATCCTTGCCTGCCTGCATTGTCAATTTTTATGAGCTAATTTTATTGGGTTTTTACTTTCTTGGCCAATTTCAAATTGTACTATATTGTCATATTCATGAGATCCTGATTATCCTAGATTGCATTTTCTCAACTGGGTTTTGTTCTTCTACATTTATTGGCCCACACGCACATGTTCATCAGAGTATATTTGTATAAGTGCTGCTTTATATGTATTTGTAATTGTGTATGCTTTTTTTTTATTCAGGTTACCAGCATTGCCAATTTTTAGGAGCTAATTTTATTGGGTTTTAACTTTCTTGCCCAATTTCAAAGTGTAGTATTTTATTGTCATGTTCACGAGATTCTGTGTATCCTAGACTGCATTTTCTCAACTGGGTTTTTTTTTCTTCTACATTTATTGGCCAGCGCACACATGTTAATCAGAGTATATTTGTATAAGTACTGCTTTATGTGTATTTGCAATTGAGTATACTTCTTTTATTCAGATTAGATTGAGTGTAGAAGTTCCACCAGCTGTTTGTGAGGATTGTTACAAAAGGGTCATGAATGAGTTCATGAAGCAGTCAAAGGTACTGTTGAGTTACCATCTAGTTTTTGCTTCTACATGGTATGATGTGATGGTTAGAATCAGTGTATGCACAATTTAATTGACTATTCTTTGATTTTGGATCTTAAACACTGAGGTAGTGTTTGGTTCACTTAAATGAGGTTTAATGTCATGGCCATTCCTTAACCCTCATTATGGAATGACCATTGATGGCAAATGATAATTCCATCTACAATGTATTTTTTCGTAATTTTTTTAGCAACCAATTGTGAGAATGGACATTATGATGGAATAATCATTCCCTTATACTTAATTCCAGTGAACCAAACGCTACTAAGATTTTTCTTGAGGAGAAGACTAACTGGGTGACTTTTTTTCCGGAGGGTACTTGTTACTTTTTTCCCTGATATTTTTCAAGCTCAATGAAAATTATTTGTTGGAGTTCAAAGGTTGGAAAATGTCTTCTGACTTTCGTACCATTTACTCGTGCAACCTGACCAAGAAAATAAGCTCGGAGAATGAGATGCACAATTTGTTTATTGTCATATTGTTTGCTTGGGAAATGAGTATCCATGTTCATGTAACAAATTGGTTCTTTATTCCCAGGTCCCCGGATTTCGCCCAGGAAAGAAAGTTCCAGAGAGTATCCTATTAAGTTATGTAGGGAAGCAAAATGCTCGAAAGGCTACAATTGAATCTGTTTTGAAGAGAACCCTTCCCCATGCCATGTCTTCGGTATGTTGTCCACTCTTTATTTACCATATTTTGTTTGTGATTTACATTTTGGATATGCCATGAGAAGCAGCATCCCTGGAAATTTCACCTATAGGAATTTGTGTGGTTCTCTTTTGTTGTGACAATACACTGTTACAATTAGATGATTACATTAATTTGAGTATTCAGAAATCGCTGGATATAGTACTATTCTGTCTGACTTTTATTTAAATATGAGTGTCTGTTATGCGATGTGCAAACAAAGAAAAAAGGAAGCGCCATAGGGTTACCTTTTAAACTAGTGTCAGCTTTCTGTGGTAGAATCAAAAACATTTTATGGTTGAAAGACTTTAAGGTTAGGAAGCATACCATGCCTTTGTTTTTCATGTGATATTTTATTCCACTAGTGTCCAAGAATTTCAATGCTGAGACAGTTGATGTAGCCAATGACAAAACATGGGGATCATGGAATTCCATTTTACATGTATTTCCATTGTAGATGGAGGCTAAGCTTAGGCTTAATTTTAAAATTTTGTACTTTCTTAATGTTTTCTGTGTAAAAAAGTGTTAATTGATTTCTTCCCTTTATTGAGCAGCCTTCGTATAATTAGGCTTGGTTTTGGAACAAAAAGTTTTGTGCATAGTTTTGAGTAACATCAAAATTTCCTTGTTTTTCTCTCTTTTGGCCATCTCTCTTTTTTCTCAGTGTTCTTCACTTCTTTCCCTCTCTATTATCTCTCTTCTTCTTTCTTTCCCATTTCTTCTTCCATTCTTCTTTCAGTGGTTTGATTGACAAAACTATTCTTGCTAGAGTCGCCATATGGCTTGGCTAATTAACTGTTCTCTTGATGCATTTTTTTGTTTCATAGGTGACTGGAAGGGCTTTGAAAGACTCCATCCGCATTGTAACCAAATTCTCTGACATGGAAGAGACCTATTCTTCTCTAAACTCTTTGAGGTTAGTCTAACATTCATCTTTTAAGTAACTTTGACTTAACATTTATTTACTTCAAGCACCTTTATTACTCTCGTGCTCATTATGATAACTCAATACCAAACAAGGATTAGGGCAAGAAAAAGGGATCACAAGTACCTTCCACTGTTTGCCTTCTTGATTAACGAATTGCTTAGGTGGGTCTAGATAAAGGCCCTGCTTTTAGTTCAAGTAGTACCCTGAATATGTAGAATACATTGACTTTATATTCAAGCACAAAACGATCAAAATCAATATCAAAGCAAAGGCTTATACCCTTTTTTGGTTCTTTTCATTTTTGGGTTTGAGGATTGTTGGAGAGCCGCCTTTTCAACTGAGCAGTTTAACAAAATCTAGTTGTTGTATGTTTGTTAGATATTGTTCATTTGTATTTTGTATTATTTTTTATCACACTTTCACACTTGAGTAACTGCATAGCACTAATTTCAAAGACAACATTACTCATGTCTTTGTGTTAAAGGAGAGACATTTGATAAGGAAAGTTGATTGTGTGACTGTGTTTCTATACATGCATTTCTTGGGGTTTGTGCATGCTGACTTTGACTTGTGCTCTAGATATGACATCATTGTCGATGTGGCACCTGAGGTCAAATGGATTCCTGAGGGTGGATACAAGAATTTGAAGATTGTTGTTCAGATAGATAGTGAGATAGATGCTCACAAAGCTTCTGAACAAGAATTAAAACGTCGTCACAAGTCTCTAGGTTTATTGAGAATCGTAACTGACAGAGGCCTACAGGTAAACCCTGAAAAGTTACTGTAGTAGGATTTCTCTCTTTGTCTCTCTCTCTCTCTGGAGTTTATTTTGGATTTTCATTTGAAAGCTTCATGAATTGGTTGATTCAAGTTAAACAAATACTGGGGAAAATAATTATGATTTATAAATACAATAAAACCCACATATGTTGTTGAGATACTTTCTTTTTCATCTTGAATCCTTGATGCACATGTGCTTGCTATTGATCAGAAAGGAGTATTCTTGTGATTTGAGGTTCGGTTTAAGAATTAAAACTAGTTGCACATTAATATATTTTTTTTTCTTCCCATAGAAAATATTAACTTGTACAAACTTGGCACTTTCACAGATTGGTGATGTCGTAGTCCTTGATATATCAGCAACAACAATTGATCAAGATGAATCAAACATTCGAAAAATTCCTTCTGCAGAAACCAAAGGTTTGTGCATATGCACCACAGTTTTCTCCGTCTAGGCAATAAGCAGACCGGAGCCCCATAACATTAAGTTTGAAGCAAAAATAGAGCCAGAGTGGCATCTGTGAAGAGAAATGAAATTTTTTTATTCCATTCAGTATTCTTTGATACAGTTTCTATGAAGAGAGAAGATTAGTTGCACAAGCTTCAATTGAAGTTATCTTAGTCCAAAAAGTCAATTGTTCCAAGTCCAAAACTTATGAAATTGATTTGTTTTGCTCTCTGGGATGTTTAATGAACAAATTATTACCACCCCCCCACCCCGCTGTTTTGCAGGTTTTCAATTCGATACAGAGGATGGAGATAAAGTCCTTCCTGGTTTCCTGGATTCAATAATTGGAATTCAACAGGGTGAAACAAAATCTTTTCCACTTTTATTTCCTGAATCATGGAAGCAAGAAAATCTGCGTGGTGTTCATGCTCAATTTACCGTAGGTTCCTTTCAATTTTTGGGAAATCACTTCTTGTTTGGTTCCTTTGCATTGGATTTACAGATGCCTTTGTTTTTCTTTTTCTTTTTCTTTTTTTGGAGTAATCTGTTTTTGCCCGAAATCCTAAAGTTGAGTGAAGTGTGAACTTTGAGCTTGTCCTACTATACCAATTTTTTGAAAAATATGCTCAAAATTTTAAAATTTATAAAACAGTGACTCTAAATAGCCAAGTTTTGCAAAATTGCCCTCAAATATCACCAAGAAAAGCTAAATTCGGAAACCCCTTAACTGTTTGAACTTGAGATGGTTTTTATTGTATTTACTTTTTCGCATCAAATCAACAAGGCATTCTTGACTTGAATCTACGTGAAGTCAACAAATTGTCACACTATAGTTTATGCTATTTCATAGCAGCCATATAACATGCTTTTGATGAATTGGTGGCCTATGAAGATACAAGTTCCCTTTTGCTTTATCCTTTTGTAGGTTGAATGTAAAGAACTATTTTACAGAGATCTACCAGAGTTGGACGACTCCATTGCTGATAAGCTTCTTCCTGGATGCACCACCCTTGAGCAGGTGAGCCGTTACATCAATATGGACTTCCAATGAAGGTCTGGAAGAAGGTAAAGATTCTGTAATGAAATTTCGGCTATATGAACTGCAGGTCAAGGAGTCTTTACTACAAAAATGCCTAGAAGTGGAACAAACAGCCAAAGAACAAGCAACAGATAATGCCATTCTAGACCAGCTCCGCAAGGTGGTGTGTTTTTTTTTTCTCCTGAAATTTATGATGTTTAGATTCAATTTGCTACATTTTGTTTGACAATCACACTGAATAGTGCTTCCACGTGGTGTGTTTTTTCCTTTTGTTTCGCGATTTTATATCTTCATGGGCATTTCATGGGATACAATCATAAAGAAATTCTATTTGGTTGTACATTTCATCAAGTGCATGCTGATAGTCTATGGATTTGCCTAGTTTCATGAATGTTGGTGGCGGGGCTGCATGAGATACTGTTGGTGGAATTTCATTCGACTTTTGACATATTTCATTTTTCTATGGGAAATAAACTACGCCTGAAACTAATGCTTGTTTTTTTTGGCATATAACATTTTTTTTGCATGTTCTGGTGTTTGATATGGCAGGAAACAAAAGTCAAAACAAACGTATTTGAGCCAAAAATATTTTTCTTTTGAAAGACGGAAAATGTTTTCCAAATTGAAAATTTTATCAATGCCACCACCCTACCACCCCATCACCACCAATCTCTCTTGTATTGGGATCCTTTCACTTTATGGGTCCTTTCACTTTATTACCAGTGAGCTCGAGAACTCTACATAAATAAATGTTTATTTATAAAAAATTTATGATACATAAACAAATGTTTTGTATTGGGATCAGTTCACTTTCTTGGTATATCATATATGTAACCTATTCAACTGGCTACCATATTTTTATATCCAAACTTATTCTTGCACTTTTCAGATGATTGAAGTTGATATTCCCCAATCCCTTCTCGAGGAACAAGGCAGGCAGTTCTATGGAGCCGAACTTCTAGAAATACAGGTCCGCACCCACAGAATGCCCACTCTCTCTCTCTGTCTGTCTCTCTCTCTCGTATGTGCAATTTTTTTTATGTGGTTGATATGCATATTCACTACTTATTGTACTGGACTAGGCGAATATGAAGCTGAATGAGCAGCAGTTAGCGTCTCTATCAAGTCCAAGAGCTGTGAATGAGTACTTGGAAAACCAGAAGGAGAATTTAACAAATATAATAAAGCAAAATCTGGCAGTTGGAGACATATTTAAACGGGAAAATTTGCAGGTACACATTTGCTGTTGAAATATATTTCTTCTCTACCTCTATGTATTTATAAGTGCACAGTTTCCCATTATTTTCCATGTGGTTCAGAAAAGAGAACAATTGGATTATTTGGCCATTTAATTTACACAAATAAATGGCTTTGCTTGCTTAACCAGCCCTATAATCTTGAATAAAGACGAGACAGTGATTATGTATAATTCGACTGGGTTGCAGTTTCCAACAGAGGAGCTGGTGAAGGAAGTTAAGAACTCCATAGCTGAGTTCAAACGTCATAAACAAGACTATGATGAGGAACGAGTGAAGGAACAGGTCAGTATTATATATCCATCCTATAAAGTTGTAAATAGAAATGACCATTGTTTAATATTCTTAGTTTGTGTCAAAACAACTCATTGTTTTTATATGTTTTGTAGAGTAACGGTTTGTTTCTGTGCATTTCAGTATACTAGTTGGACTCCCACGCGCATTGTTGATTGAGAATAAGATACACCACAATATATAGTATTATTAACGTATTTTTAGATAATTTTAAGGTCGTAATATCAATCTACAAATAGACTTAATTAGATACAAAAATTTAAATTTGGGAGCATTAAATTCAAATTAAGTATCATCTCTCTATAGAAGGAAAAAAACAAAAGAAAAAAAGGGAGACACTAAAAAGGAATTTGAATGTGATTTTGGGATTTTAATTTAGACACATAAATGTTTAAATTACTCCCAAGAAAATAGTGATGATTTAGCTCTACAACCTGTGAACCAATGTTGTTCTATACACAACCTCAGTCTGGTTATTACCACCAATGTATAAAGAAAAAGTGTAAAGAAGGTCAGGTGTGCTCATGTATAGAAGATCATCTACCTATTCAGCGCTCTGTGACCTTTAGTCATTAAGCAAATTACCACTAAAAAAGGTGAAGTACATAAAGAAATGAACTGGCTTTGCAGACAATATTACCAGTGGAACTCCCCTTATTCTCTTTCTGATACTGATTGTAGATTCCAACAATCCCTCAAAGTGAGAAACACGAGCTACACCATTGGATTCCAAACTCAAAGAACTAAAATGGGCATAGGGTTCTTTTAATGATTACTGTTAAAACCTATCACCTACTTCACCCACTTAAACCTACTCCACTAAACCTAACCCACTACACCACTACCACCTCACCTACTCCACTAAACCTAACCCACTACACTACTACCACCTCCACTTCACCTACTCCTTACCTACTACACACTCACCCTCTTCTATATATAGGAATCATGAATCATTGTAATAAAGATAACATTATATCAATCAATAATACAATTCTCTATTTCTCTTTATACATTAAATTTCTACATGGTATCAGAGCTATAAGATTTAGGCCTATACTCTTTTTTTCCGGCGGGCAGCCGGTCGGCAACCTTGCCTTCGCTGCCCGCTGGAGTTTTTTTTTTTTCAACACATACCACAAACACATACCAGAAACTCTTCTTTCTTTGTTTCCTCATCTTCATCACTCTCAGTTTCCACTTCGAACGCCTCTCCGTCGGAGCTCTTCAGCGTGATCTTCTTCGACGAAGACATCTCATTTCCTCAAACCAAGCCCTATCCTCTCTTTGCTTCGACTCAGCCTTCACTGCCACAGACACCACCGCTGCCAGCACCACCTCACAGTAGCAGCAGCCACGGGAAGCACCACCTCACAGCAGCAACGCCCGTGCTTCTTCTGTTCAGCTGTATCCCAAATGGTCAGCTTCCATCTTTTCCCACCAACCGTCAGTTGCTTGATTTTAAAGTCCACACCAATGGTAGGAGCGAGATCTTCAACAGAGTTGGAGATGAAACTGACGAGAAGACTGCTTTTGCCAACGCCGGAGTCGCCGATCAGCAAGATCTTGAATGACAGATCGTAACTGCTGCTCTGTGCTGACGACGCACCCATTGATGATCAATGGACGTCGGGTGGACCATTGATATCGTCGATCCGAGTGGACTCGCTATCGTATAGTGATCGGAAGTTAAGGCCGGGATGCAAGTGCTTGCCCGTTGAAGCTCCTTCCTGGGGTGCTCCTCACACCTGCCTCTTAGATTTCCTTGCTCCCGATGTCTCGCTCACCCGGAAGCTGGGAGCAGAGTTCGTGGGGACATTCATACTGATATTCGCGGCAACGGGAGGACCAATCGTGAACCAGAAATACAACGGAGTAGAGTCACTGATTGGGAACGCAGCATGCGCTGGTTTGGCAGTGATGATAGTGATTCTGTCTACTGGTTGCAACCATGAAACAAGAAGAGAATATTCCAAATGGATCTGGAAGCTAAGCCTGACCATTAGCATCAACATCTTGTGTCTAAAGTACACAAACTGATTTTCTCTCTTCTCTCTCTCAGCAAACCCAGCACAAATGGAGAGGGGCTACAAACCTCTCTCTCTCTCTATGCACTGACTCTCTCTTTTTTTTTCGGAAGCTTTGAGTTTTGAAAGGTAAAGACACACTAGACCCACTCACTTCCTTTTCTTATGAGGAGAACATTTTTAATATCTTTATCATCACACCAGACACCAGCTTTTGTCCCCCTCTTTTCATTTCTTTTTATTTTTATATTATTCACCCACCTCTGCTTTTTTCAACTCTTTATTTTATTTTATTTCATTTCCCACACTGATGTTTTTCATATAATCCATCTACCAATTCTTTTTATCTATTTTCTTTATCTCTTGTTTTCTTTCCTTTTATTTTTATTTTTACACAAAAAAAAAAAAACCGGAAGAAGACGAAACTGCACACCAAACTCATTTTATTCATATCAAAAAAAAAAAAAAAAAAAACCAAACATTTTACCAATTTGCACAACACCCATATTTTATTCCTCTCCGGAGTCAACCCCGATCACAATTTTACACAAAAAAAAAAACATCACCCACGGGCAGGACTTTTTTCCTTCTCCCTTCTCTACTCTGCTGCCGGTCTTTTCTTCTTGCCTCCGTCCTGGACGGCCCTTGACGGTGTTGCCTCCGTGTTTTCCACTCCACTGGGCCTGATCACTACTCCCTGCTCCTCCACTGCAGCATATGGCGGCCTTCCAAATCGGAACATCACGGTGGCCTTCCGCTTCAGCTCCTTGTTTTCTGCCTTTAGCACACTTATCTCTGTTCGCACATCCTTATACATGCGCTGGAGCAGAGCCAGCTGGGCGTTTAACTGCTGCACCTCATTTGTCCTACTCTGCAGCCGGTGAGACAGGTTTGTGACCGCCGTCATGGTCTCTACACATGACTTCAAAGTATACTGATTGGCCTCAATATCAGTTTGCACCGCCATTTTTTGCTCCACCGACCGCATCGGAAAGTTCAACGGAGCAAAACCAGAGGCGCTTGGTTGAGGTTCACTGGCCACCACACCAGTTATCTCTCTTGTTGACTCGTTGAGGTCGGGAAAGAGAGTGAGCAGACCACGGAACGAAGAGGCCATATTCTGGGTAACTGAACGGGAAGACGAGGCCATGTTATGGAGAAGGGTTGGATCCAGAGTATTTCCAGAGTATCTCTCTCAGAACACGAAGAATTTTTCAGAGGAACACGAAGAATTTTTCAGAGGAACACGAAGAATTTTTCAGAGGTACACGAAGAATTTTTCAGAGGAACACGAAGAATTTTTCAGAGGAACACGAAGAATTTTTCAGAGGAACACGAAGAATTTTTCAGAGGAACACGAAGAATTTTTCAGAGGAACACGAAGAATTTTTCAGAGGAACACGAAGAATTTTTCAGAGGAACACGAAGAATTTTTCAGAGGTTTCTCTCAGTTTTTCTGTCTCAGCTTCTGCCTCAGCCTCAGCCTCCGTCTTGGTTAAAACAAGACTCTGTAAACTGTCCCGACATTGATTCCGGTTAGCTCCTTCATTGATTCCGGTTAGTCAAACCTTTTGAGGGTGCGACTTTTTAGGGGTCCGACAAGACTCTGTAAACTGTCCCGACATTGATTCCGGTTAGCTCCTTCATGGGTCCGACAAGACTCTGTAAACTGTCTTCTACAGCGGTCCGACATGACCCCATAAACTGTCTTCTACATCGGTCCGACATGACCCCATAAACTGTCTTCTACATCGGTCCGACATGACCTCGTAAACTGTCCAGACATTATCTTCTCCAACGGTCTGACACGACCATACCGTGTCTCCTATCCTGTTTTATTTTATTTATCAGTTTACTTTCCTTTTTTGTTACTCTCTCCAAACTCAAGTTGGTTAGTATCTATCCTCCTTGAGTTTGAGGGGGGCTGTAAGTGTGGTAGGTAGAGTTGAGTGTGTTAGGTAAGAGTTGAGTGTGGTAGGTAGATATAAGTGTGTTAGGTGAGAGTTAAGTGTGGTAGGTGAATATGTTTTTCTCTTCTATATATAGGAGAGTCATTGTATACAAACATATATCAATCAATAATACAAAAAATCTTACAAAATAAATAAATTAATTCACATGGAAATGGTAGAAAGTCATTTTTTATATTCCCTGACTGGGTTCTTTCAATTGAATCATCCCCTTTTTGTCTCGAAATGTTGTCTCTCTATTTTTAAGAATTACCTCATAAGTACTACAAAAACAGTTAAAGATCACACTTTAACAAATAAAAATATCTCTATATATAGGAATCATGAATCATTGTAATATATAGATCAATATAACATAATATCAGTCAATAATATACATCAATTTATCTTACATATACAACGGAGACCAACAGAGGCAGTAGTGAAGAGATGCAATACAGTGACGGTAGATGGAAGTGTTAGAGGAAGAGACAGACCTAAATTGAAGTGGACTAGTGTAATAAATAGAGATATGAATCTCCTTAATTTGACAAACACAATGGCCTTTGATAGAGTTGAGTGGAGAAGAAGGATTCATGTAACCGATCCCATTTGATAGGACTTAAGGATTTGTTCGGTTTGGTTTGGTTTGTAAAGTAGAATTCTACTTTTTGTAGATTTTATCAAATTAACGCATCCACTGAAAAAGTAAATGGACTATTGGCTCTTAAACTAATATCCATATTTCCCAAAGAATGATTTATCACTATTAGTGAACTTATGTGTAATATAAGGGTCGTGGTAATGATAGCCCTAAGGGATGTTAAAAGGATTTTTTATTAATAAATCCCATTTAAAGATGTTCTAACCCAATAAGTCCATCAAGGAAAATTATAACCTAGTTAATTCTTGTAGGTTTAAAGAAAAGAAAGAGTTAGGGAATGAGGTAAACTTCATTCTCTTTTATATTGATAATACTGAGTAATTACAGGAGTGCCATAGGCATAATATAAGG